GTACATTATGTTTCAAGTACACAGAAGAGAGATGTTGAAAGAAAAGAAATGCCTAAAACTTAAGTTTTGCACAAAGAAAACTGCTATAATTTGCAGAAGGGCTTCCTTGATTGAATCTTTCAGAGTTAGAGCTGCAAGACTTCAGAAGCACCAGGAATTGTCTCAGTATATAACTATAATCACTGATTTATATTCTGATTAGTTAGGTGACATTCTAATGATCTGAAGCTCTCCTTAAAAGAGAGGAAGAAGAGAAAAAAGGTTTTCATAGTGTTCTAATGCTTGAGGGTGGTCTCCTACTGCCACATAACTTGTATGTGTAGTTAGGGATCTGAGTTCCAGTGTTTCAACTCAGGGATGACCCTTCATTCCTAGGCCTGGGAATGCAAGAGCATCTGCATACTTAGCCACTAGAGGGAGAAAGTGTGCCTCCAATGACCCCAGAGCCAATGAATCAAAATAATACAATGGACAGCCTTTGAAGGGAGCTAAATCAAGCATGAAGTAGCCAGGGGCCAGGACCCCAGTAACATGGCAGCTTTGGAAAATTTTGGATGAATTCTTAAAGACTTCAGGATAGATCCAATCTTATCATAGAATTAATGGCTTAAACTAATCTTATATATGTACTGAATTATCTTGTCTGATCTCTCCTTTCTTTCCCATACATTTTACATATATTTCAGTATGCGAACAGTTGGGGAAGGGGATTATTTTGTAACCAAAAAAAAAAAAAAGGAAAGGAATTAGACTGCAGGGAAAACTTACTGACTTTGAGAGTTCTAGAAACCTAGATTTTTTTTAAACCAAAAGGATAATGTAGAACAGCCTTCTTTGCACATTTGCATATTATTCAGAGGAATTTCTTCCTGCTTTTCTGGAGAGTAGTTCAAGTTTGGTCCAAGGGAATAGATTAGATGGATTGCAAGGTCCTCATTCTACCTTTCACAATATGATTCTAAGATAACTTATTTTTATGTAGGTTATAGTAGAAAAGTACTAAAATCTGTCTTACCACCATAAAACTGAGAGGAACTAGTTTCCTTAAAACCACAGCAATTTAAAATCATACACAAAGCTGCTGAACTCCTAAACTCAAATTATTTGCTTTTCCAATGGAAATCATTTTGTCTTTACTACGGCGTTGTACAAACATAAACATCAGGTTGATGTTTTCCTTAATAAATACAGCATCTACTCCTCAGGAAGTGAAGTGAACTCCCCAAACTTGAAGAATTTCAGAATTTATACTCAGTACTGTATAATGGCATATTTGGGAACTCCTTTAAAAATCAACCCCAAGGAAAAAAACTATTAACATGAGGGGGAGGAAAGGAATCCAAGGGAAAGGACAACTATTAAAATTGCAATGCTACAAATAATTCACGTTTTTCTTTTCATTATATTGTCTCTTATTCCTTAGCACAGAAAATTAAACTTTTCTGGAATTCTTGACACAGCCTGGTATTCCTACTCCCTCAACATTGATTTTCTTCACAATCTGTGATAAGGATTCTCAGAAGTACTGCTTGGCAGGACTGATAATTTCTTCTGTTTTAACATCTAAGACTACACTGTACAGTATTTTCCGTTCCTTTCAATTTCCTTCTTCCTTTAATTATACAATGATTACAACCCCTCTGTTTACAAATGTGGTCTGGAAAAAGACTAAATGCTACTATTTGTAGAAAGCACATTTTGCTCTTGCGATTCAAAGTTTTCACCAAAGAAACAGGTTTTTCCTTACATGTTCCTTGGAGAATATGGGGTTTGTAGTTGTCCACAAAACTCTTCTATCACAACTTTCTCTCTCTGATTTTGTTGTTGTTCACAATTGAAAAGTAAACAAAAGCTATACTTGGAAGGTGAAAGACTGAAAAACGAGTAACTTGGCTACATTTCAGATGAAAATCTTTTCTGATCTCATTTCTGTTGGTAATCATAAACTTACCTGTGTGCCACGGTTTGAATTTTTGTTTTCTGAAATTTGAAAGAACTTTATTTTCCAAATAACCTCAACAAATCGACTACTGAATACACACACGTTAATACCTCTGAACATATACTACAACACACTACACATTTGGAGGCAACCTGACTTAGTGAATTGGAGGCTGGCCTTGGGGTCAGGAAGACCTGGGCTAAAATCCTGCCTCTGACACAATACTGGCTACTTGACCACAGGCAAGACATTTAACCTCTCCTTGCCCCTAGGCAATTCTCTGAGACACTAAAGTTACAGATAAATTGCTATTATGCATCCGGTGGAGGGAGTTCCCACGATGAAAGTTCTCCAAGCTAATGAAATCACGAGGTGGGGGAGGGACACACACAAATGAGACACAAAAAGAAAAACTTTATACAAAGTGTCTAATTTCGCACATACATGCACTACACACATAAATGTTTTACCTTCCTGGAAAGATACTGATTTTTAAAAAATATACACATATAGCATATTAAGTAACTGGAAATTAAAAAAAAAAAGTCCTTGAGTTGTTACTGCTAGTCCACCATGTTCCTATCAGTTCCCTAAAAGAAAAAAATAACTTTCAAAAATCCTTATGTGTTCACTGATTCATAAATCTGAGTTGAAAAAGCAACTTCACAGGCGGCAGAAAGGAACCTCACATCCTTTTAATACTTCTTTCTGTGCTGGAGGAGGACTTGAGCTTCTGAGTTTGGGGGTGGGGTGTAGTGGGCGGAGTGACCATCCATACTTCAAGACCTGACCGTCCGTGTTCCCCCCTCCCAAGCCAGGGTAGAAATCGGGGTGTTTGGGGCGAGGGTAGTGCGAGGTGAGGGGGCAGGGTCGGGGGAATGCTTCTGGTGGATGAAGTCCCGATTGAGCTCCATCAACTAGAATGACTGAGTGTGTGTGTGTGTGTGTGTGTGAGTGTGTGTGTGTGTTACGGAGCAGCAGAAGCAGCACTTGTCCTGTAATCGATTGCCGAGTGTGCTGAGCGGCCCAGAGCGCAAAGACACACACACACACACACACACACACATACACACATAGAGATACCCACTCACCGGGGGCGCGCGCGCACTCTCTCCTTCTCGCTCTCTTTTGCACACACACACACACACACACTCACGCAGGCACGCACGCACCCTCGCGCTCGCAGCTCCTTGCCCGCCTGCCCTCCTCTCCTCTCCTCTCCTCTCCTCCTCCCCGTCCTTCCCCTCCTTCCCGGTGCCCGCCCGCTCGCCCGCCCCGCGCGTCCAGCCGGCGCTAGGGGAGATGGGCTCGGGCTTGGTAGCCGGATCGGTTTCTCGGGGTTTGACCAGCTGTCCCGGGCTCACCCTGCTCCTCGCTGAAGATGGAGGAAGTAAAAACAGGATTACCCTCCGTTCCAGAGCCACTGCCTTAGTTTCCACAGCCCACCGCAGTGCCCCAACACACACTGGCCACGCAGGGACACCCCGAGAGAGACCCACACAGAGACACGAGAGACCCAGACAGTGAGAGACACTCAGAGAGAGGGAGGAGAGGACCCACTCACAGTAAACACAAACAAAAGGGGGATGGGATTGCCTCCCTGCGTGTCCTGCTGAGGTAAATCTCGCTCGGCGCTGGCTGGCATGGTGGAGAAAGCGAGGAGGAGGAGGAGGAGGAGGAGGAGGAGGCGGAGGAGGCGGAGGAGGAGGCGGCGGCGGCTCGGCTGGATCTGCCCTCACCCGGCCCCGACCGGGGGGCAATGAGCGGAGCCTAACGCGCGCGGGGGCAGGAGGAGGAGGAGGAGGAGGAGGAGGAGGAGGAGGGTGGCAAAGTTAAGGGTAATTATGCAGCCTCGTCTGCACTCGCCGGCTGCGGGTCCGAGGACTTGTTGCTGTTGGCCAGTGATGAGGAGGAGGAAGAGGAGGATGGGGGAGGGGAGGGGGATGAGGCAGGGGGAGGGGAGGAGAGGCTGATGAGTGATAATAATAACAACAATAATACTCCGTTTGCTGGGAAGGAGGGAGGGATGCTGGTCGGGAGCCCGGCTGGGATGGCTCCCAGGGGCGCGCGGGGGATCGGATGGGAGATGCCTTCCTCTCGGTTTTAATTCCTCCCCTCGGATGATCTGTTTCTGGGATGTTAATCGATTAATCAGTTCTCCTCTTCGACTGCTGTCACGGATTGGTGGTGTTTGTTGGTTGGCGTCTGCTCGGTGTTCACTTGCATTTTGCAGCGTGTGTATGTGTGTGTGTATGTGTGTATATGGGGGGGGGTTGCCTCGGATAAACTGCAGTCTTGATAGAAGGGAAGAGCCTGTTGGAATTTATTTTAAAAAATACACACATACAACAACAACAGCCAACAACCACCTGGCATGACACATGTAAAATGCAGCAGCTAAATCACTTTGACAGGATCTAGTGTCTGAGCGAGAGAAAGAGATGGAATTAAGATTTGTGTGTGTATGTATGTGTGTGTGTGTGAAAATTTTGCCAAGGGCCAAAAAAACAGTCCTGTGAAGTTGGCCTAGGTCCCTTGCTAGGTTTTGCCTGACTGTCCCTCCCCCCTCCTCCTCGTCCCTTCCCCCCCCCTTTTTCTTTCAGTTTTCTTGTCTTAGCTTTTGGTCGATTCTTAAGGAACCGGTGGATCAAGTTTTTTCTCTTCTTGTTAATCGCATTGCTGTAGCACTGACTGACCTCTCTCCCTCCCTCCCTCCCTCCCTCTCTCTTTTTTTTTCCTCTTTCCTGAAAGTACATGGTGCCATTCCTGAGTGACTTTTCCTACTAGACCATCCCAAAGGGAGGGGGAGGGGGAGGAGAAGGAGGAGGAGGAGGGGGGGTGTTCCTTCTCCCTCATTTCTTCATTTTGTTTATCAGACGATCTGTTTGCTTGATTTGGGCTCCGAATGACCCACCTGTAAAGTGCCTTCCCTCCTTCCTCGCCTTGAACTCTGCAGGGGGCTTGGCTTGGAGGGGGTAAGGGGCAGTGGGGGGGGCAAGAAACTTCTTTCTTTCTCCGTTTATCTTTACTCCGACATTGTCATCTCTTCTTAAGGAGTTAGAAGAAGCTGAGGTCTCCCGACAGAGCTGGAAATGGTGATGAATCTTTTTTAGTCAAAGGACAATTTCTTTTGTATGTACATTTCGTTCCTGTGCCTTTCCTTTTCTCTTCTTTTCTTTCTTTCCCTGAGGGTTAACTGTTTCACTGATGGGGGAGACTTTCCTGTTCCCCCTGACATTTCTAGCTTTTTAATATATGTGTGCCGGGTGTGTACTTTTTGAAAAGATAAACTTATGTATTTGTAAAAGATCTGAAGAACCTGCTCCCCCTTTAAACTTTATAGATCACTTTCTTTAAAGGCCTTATGTAATGAGTTATTTCAAAGAATTTGATAACAGCACTGCAGGTTGAAATACGTACTGAGCTGAGAATTTGATCTGACTATACCATAAAGAAAGAAAAGTTTTTTTGGGGGGGGAGGAATTGAAGGGAGGGGGGAGGGAAGTGGTTTTGGAGACAAGAAGTGAAGCTGCCTGTTTTCCAGTAAGTAATGGAGAAATTCCAGGAGCCAGGGCTAAATATACTTGGCGATCAATACAGAAATGGCTCATTGTGAATAATTTAGCTGCTGGTGCAGTGAGAGTTTTGAAACTAAAGGCAAAAAGGACCGGAGCCAAAAGGAGAAAAAAAAGAAGTAAAATTCTCCTATGGACATATCAGTTCTTTAAACTTTTCCCATCAAAGAATACAGTTAGATTATTGATCTCTTGTTTTTTTTATGTGAAATAAAAGCTAGGGGGTGTCATCTCGCACAATTTTTTGTGTTTCTGGAGCAGAAGACTTTGTTTTATGTTTGTAGCATATGAAAACAATCCCCAAAACTTTTTTTAAATGACCAAAGGTCGCAATATGTTATGAATACTCAAAATTTAAAATGTATTAGATATAGCATTCAAATCCATGATCTTTCAGGAAATTAATATTGCAGCGCACAGGTGCTCGGACAGATCAAGGGGCGGGCTGAAATGTCAGTGCAAGTGAGAGAGTTGGAAAAGTGCTGCACAAATCTGTGAAACAGACTTGAGCACCAAGTTTTTTGTTTTGTTTTGCTTTGTGTCTCACACCCCACTCCCCCCTTGATTAGAACATGATGAACCAACTTGCAACAATTGTGAATAGAGCTATCTGTTAACTTGGTCGTCCTCAAACCATAATTTGATTGTGGGAACTAATAAATATTAATACACTTAAATCCTAGTAAAAACTGGCATGATTGAAGTGTGACTCTCCCAATTAAATTCATTAAACTAGGTGAAACATTCAGACTTAAAGAGGCATTCTTGCCTTGCTACAGCTCATCTAGATGCACCCTTATCTTCTCTACCCTATCTCTAGCAGGAATCAGATCATTTGCAGAAAGAGTTCAGTGACTTGCAAATGAGCACATAGAGTACACAGTAGTGTGTGTCTTGGGCACAGGTTGTTGCAGTAGACCCAGCAGCAGCAACAGCAATATGGGCTAACTGCTTAGAGCTTCAAATAAGTTAAGCATTTAATGGCAGATAGTGAAAGGAATCATTGTTTTAAGGGTTTACCCTTTTGTTTTGTAGCACTGCACTTTGACTATGGAAACAGAGGCTATTGATGACTATATAACATGTAAGTACTCATTTTCATTAACTTATTAATTCATTAATCACAATCACTGGATTATCCTATAAATTTGTTTAATTCAGTTTGTAGGTATCATTTATAGATCAGGGCTCTTAATTTTATTTTCTCTCTGTTCACAACTTCATAATGAAGATGAGTCCAGGAAAGCAAAAAACAAACTAACCAAAAACACTTAAACTTTAGGCAAGAGCAGGAAAGGGTAAAGAGACATTTTTTGGTAGTATGGGGAACTCATTTAGATAACTAGTTTGGTAAACTCAACATCTTTATACTATAATTTTGTTTCTTTTTTATTTCAAGTTTAGGGGACAATAGATTATACGTGTTTACTAGAAATTTTCTGTGGACTGAAATCTTTTTGTCCCTAACTTTTTTTGAGTCATTTACTGTAGAAAGTATTTAATTCTCTTTTAGTGCATTGACAAGTGGCATCTTGGAATTGCTTATTATAAACAGTGTGGTATCTAGTGATTTAACCAAAATATTAAAAAGAGAGTGTCTTAGGGCTGGAAGGGAGTCTTAGAGATCTTCTTTGCTAATCCTTTCAGTTTATAGACGAGAAATTATATTGTGTGCCTTTTACTATGGCTTTTAGAAATTTATGGTATTTTTAATCCACCCCCTCCATGATGTCTCTTTTTGAATTTCTGTGAATCTAGTTCTGTTCTTTTGAAAAAAAAAATACTGTGTTTAAATTTAAAAGCTATGATACTTAAGTATCCATGAGCAAAAGTTGACAAAATTAAAATGTTATAATTGGATTCTATATGTCAAGTGAACAGAGTCTGAAAGATTTTATTTTTGAAAGCAGGTGACAATGAGCTTTCACCTGAAAGGGAACACTCCAATATGGCAATTGACCTCACCTCAAGCACACCCAATGGACAGCATACCTCACCAAGTCACATGACAAGCAGTAAGTGTTCCTTTTTATGATTTTTTTTTCCATTTCTGTAGTGGAAGATTTGGATTTGTTGGGTTTGTGGGGTCCGTTTTCTGGCTGTGGTGCAGCTGCTGCTATAGATTTTGCTAACTGAAGAAAAGAACAGCACAGATTTGTTCCTGTTCATACTAGTATCATATCTTAAACATGAGCTTGCTTACTAGTTTGAACTATCCCAAGGTGGCTTTTGGGAACTGGTGCTTACCTGTATCAGGTAAGAAATACTAGGATTTACTTGTAATTGGTTGGCTTTCCAGATTTTTAGGATTAGATTTTGTTGTTGTTGTTGTTTGTTGTTGTTGGTTAAGTAATAGGGAAAATGAAACAAAATTTCCCAATGTTTTTTTTTTCTGGTTAAAATGAAATGCATGTTATATTGCTTTGTCATAAATCTGTTATTAGTGGAGAGTGTTAGCCTGTTATCCCTGGGTGTATGTACATGTGTGGGTATCCATATACCTATATATGTGGTACCTATATGCATATACATATATGTATGTGTGTATGAGTATGTGTATGTATATATACACATATATATCTATATATATCCATCTATCTAGCCATATCTCTTTGAAAGTTCTTTCTACACAGCCTTGAAAGTGGATCATAAATGAAAATATATGGTGCTTACTCAATATTCATTTCTTTAATAAAGTGAAAGGGTTTTGTTTTAGATTGTCAAGAGAAGAACTAGGGAGGTATAAGAGGATGGATGGGGCTAGCACTGATGGCCAGTTTTAGCTGATATTTTTGATATAGGGTCATTCACACTCATACTGTTTTAAGCACTACTGGAAACTCTACAAAGATTAGTTTGCTTGCATTCATTTTCAAAAGACAACATACTTTTATTTATTAAGAGCGTGGTTTGTTTCTTGATTCTGGTGTTTTATCAATGTACTTATCAAGGGTAAGTGCTCTATTACTTAGATTCAAAAGTAATTTGAAGTATTTTGTTTCCATATGCTCTCAGTATGTGTTGCCTCCTTTTCTGGGAAGGACACTTTAATTTTTGTAGATAGAAAAAGTTGTATACTTCCGCAGAATTTGAAGGCATTGATTTCATAGAAGAATTTAGCTTACGTATTAATCTACTGATGCATAAACATATTTGCACATTTTTCAATGTCCAAATGAGTAAAACTGTTCCACACTTTATTCTTCCAATTTTCAAATATAACTCAGATTCTTAGAAGCCTCTAAGATGTATGAGGTTTTTTTTTTTTAACCTTCAGTAGAACATATGTAACAATAATATAAAGAATATACTGGATTGGATGCATGTTCTTGTCTCATGTATTTTGCTTTAAATATTCTAACTTCTGTTTTGTAATTTTTATATATTTTATTATATGAGCTAATAGCTTGAAGTTAATTTTATTTTCTTACTAATTGGAGAAACTTCATAGAAGAATCTAATTTTAAAGGGTATTTTAAATTCTCTGTCATGTATCAACAACCCAGTTCTAGTAAATGAATAGACAAGTTTGTGCTAACTTCAGTTTCAGTACAAATAGCACATTTTAGCAGGTTTTATTCTATCTTGATTAACTATGAATTTGGGAAAATAAATTTATACTCGAAAGCCTTAGCTTTCTTATCTATAAGATGTGAGGGCTTCTACCTCTAATATTATTCTACGATAGCAAAGAATGCTTTACATTTTCATTATTATACAGTAGATGAGTCTTATAGGAGTAGATTTTGACTTCTCCATAACTTTTTTTAATCATATGCATTCCCTCAAAGAATAAAAGGTAAATATTTATATCAAAATTGCCATAGTTGACTGTTTGGCCCCTGGGTTTCAAAAAGACAGTATAAATTTGGATAGATGTTAGCTGTTGGTCTGAGACTCTGGTAGAATTTGGGCCAGCTAGTGGTTAAGATCCACAACCACTGGTTGAATTTCAACTGTGAGTTTGCTGTTTAATGCGATTGGTTCCTTCAGTTTTGAATTTCATTTCAGCCTGACATATGCCTAGTTCAAACAGGCATTTTACCTGTCTCTTTTAAGTAAACAGTGCAGAGACCAGACATGATGATTTGAACAAATGAGAGCTGTGCTATTGAAACATTCCAGGTCTTCTCACCCAACAACAGTAAAATTATGTGTTTGGTAAGGAGATTTTTATTTATTAGCCTGTGGCAATTCCGTGTCAGTAGAGTTTTTGGCTAGGTCACTGATGTTTTTGGGTTTTATTCCAAAGGGTTGCAGGTTAAAAATGTTGGCTCTCACTTCAGAGATGTCTGTTGCATGCTTTATATAGCCTCTATTTACAGTATCTAGGTTACCCACTTAGGTGTTAGATGGAGGAGATACCCATTTTTTTTTTCCTTGTGTTAGACCTAAGAGAATAATCAGCATTTTAAATTGTCAAGGCACATGGTAGCAGAGGGCTACTGTTCAGCCTTTCAACTAGAATGGAAAGTTCAAAATTGGTTATTCTAGTGATGTTGATCATTTTTACGGGCGATTTGATCCTTGACTTTACATGAAAGCACTGATGTTTTGGATAGGGAGTTTCCCCGAGTCTTTTCATAGTGTACATCTGGATTGCTAATTGTTATTGAATAACAATACCTTCTGATTTCTAAAATGCATTTTTAGCTCTTCAGTATATTTCTTTATGGCCAACTGCTTTCAAAAATTTAATTGTAATTTTGTAAGGAAACAACATAATAAGTAAAAGAATTGTTTTATCCAAATTCTTATGGAATGAAATTATCTCTAGAAGTGGCACAAAATTGCAATTCAGGGTAAAAAAAAAGAAATAATTTTAAAATAATCAAGAGGAAATAATTTTAAAATAATCAAGAGGTAATTAAAAAATCCAATTCACTAATTTTAATGAAGTAACTAAAGTTATTGTGTTAAGAAGTCAAGGCACAACAGTATCACAGTTATATCTTAGAAAAAGTGGTCAGTGTTACCATAAGGTCACCATGATTTATTTAGTTTTTGGTGTCTACTCTAAGATGAGGGGTGAGTATAACTTGCTGCTAGCTGTTGAATTTTTAAAAAACGGTCCAACTATCATCATTTGACAATGCTAGAGGAGAGAACAATTGATTGGAGAGAAATAAAAGTGCTCTAATTTCCCCACACCTTGTGTATTTAAAGGACGGCTTAGAAAATAATTCTGAAAAGAAGAAATATTAGTGACTGTCACATTCAACAATTAACATTTCCTTGTTTCAACATTGTTTTTCTTAGCATCAGGAAAATCTCTTTGAGAACAAAAAAAATTCTTTCATAGATGGATGGGTACAGTTGCCCAAGATCATTAGTGTATACATACTGAGTTTTCTGACACTCTTAAGTGTCATGAATGACAGTATATTGCTTTATGACTACTGAAAATACATGAATATCATCTGGAAATTTGAATCTGAGACAGAAGTCAGCCAGAACCTTATAAAAATAATCCCTATTGTTTTTGCACATTGGAAGAGACTGACTGTGTATTCTGTCTTTGTGTAAACGTCTTAAAATTCTGCATAGTAACTTCTGATTTGATATTAAACTGTCCAACTGTGTTACTTAGGAAGTTTTACAGATAACTTAAGATTGTGGTTAATCTTCTTTCTCATCCTCTTCTGTTTTTCAAATGAACTGTACATAAGCCTTCTTTATTGATATTTAGATTTTATTAAAATACATATAACATTTGGGAAGTTGCTTTATTTTCTCATTTTAAAACCTTTCTATGGGTGAACAGCTCACCCATTATTCATCATATACCTTAATAACCGTATGATATCAGAAAAAGTTGTTCTTGTTTCACAAGTGATTTACCAGTAATCAGATCAGTGCATGGAGTTTTACTTTTACAAAATGCTTCACATGTATTTTTCTTAGTTCTCGTTAGAACCTAGGATTTTGTCTCTCTGTCTCTGTCTGTCTCTGCCTCTCTCTCTCTCTCTCTTTCTCTCTCTGTGTTTCACACATAGAGAAAGAGGCCCAAGGAAATTAAATGACCTAACCTAGGACGTCCAGTAGCTGAAGGAAATTGCTAAAATTAAAACTTCAGAGTTATCTTTTTGTTGCTTTTGACCATTGAGACCTGTTGTCTCTCACAATTATTACCTCAGATTTCTTCCTGTGTCCAATACTTATACACTTTTAAATAACAGACATTATTATAAGTGTACAAGAGTATTAAAATGAAAGTATTGTGATACTATTAGATTATCCTGTTATGTTTTTAATCTAATGTATTTGTTTTTTACATTGACAGTAGGTTTTGTTTATTCAACAATTTTCTTTTTTTCTAAAATTTTTTAACATTTTAATTTAAAGTTTTAAGTTTCAAATTCTATCCCTCCCTCCCTCTCCTACCTCTTCCCTTAGATGGTAAGCAATCAGATATAGGTTATACATGTGTAATTATATAAAACATTTCCATATTAGTCATTTTGTACAAGGAGACTTGCATAAAAGAAAAAAAAATGAAAGGAAGAAAGTGAAAAATAGTGTGCTTCAGTCTGTATTCAGTCAATCAGTTCTTTATCTGGGGGCAAATTGTATGCTTCATCATTAGTCCTTTGAAATTGTGTTGGATCTTTGCATTACCGAGAATAGCTAAGTCATTCACAGTTCATTAAATAATATTGCTGTTACTGTGTACAACCTTCTCCTGATTCTGTTCACTTCACTATGCATCAGTTCATGTAAGTCTTTCCAAGTTTTTCTGAAATCACCCTGCTTGTCATTTCTTATAGCACAGTAATGTTCCATTACAATCATATACCACAGCTTGTTTAACCATTCACCAATTAATGGGCATCTCTTTGATTTCCAATTCTTAGCTACCACAAAAAGAGCTGCTATAAATATTTTTGTACAAATAGGTTCTTTTCCCTTCTTTTGGATATCTTTGGGATATAGACCCAGCAGTGGTATTGCTGGATCAAAGGGTGTGCACAGTTTTATAGCCCTTTGGGATCTAATGTCCTTTTTTGAGACTAGT